CTTTCACAACGAAGCACACAGTGTTTTCACGACATGGCGGCAGCAACAATACTACAGCGAGAATAAAAGTTACGCCTTCTTTCTTTGCGTGAACATTTGGGCGGCGTTATGCAAATCTTCCCACATTGTGACATAGACATTTGGGGACGTGTTAGAACGAGCCGTTTTAAGTAGGCGTGGTTGACTCTTAACTTTTATAAAGAATATCTCTTTGGATTTGAGACTTTAGTCTTTGCAACTTTACAGATCTTCTTTATGCACCAAGAGCTTGTAACACTTCAAATAGAAAGGAAAAATTGAAATCGCATCATATGACCCCTTTAAGACAAAGTTATGTAAGCTCAGACTGAAGTGTAGGAAGAATGCACATTTAACCTGCACTAAACCTTGCATGTGTATGTGTCTGTGTGTGTTCTCCAGTGATTTACTGTCCTTGGTAACCTATCTGGACTGGGTGATGATCGTGGTCACCATCTGCTCTTGTATTTCCATGATGTTTGAGTCCACTTTTACTAGGGTCATGCATGTCCCTACCCTGCAGGTATTCTAAACCCAACTGATCACCATTCTATCCCACACGCACATCCAACTAATTTTTTTTACCCTGTAAATGTTCCTCATCTCTTTCCTGAAGGCTGGTCATCATGTCTCGCTTTTGTTGCAGTCCAGCACTTTTGATTGCCACTCTTAACTACTTTTGCCCTTTTGAGCACATTTGATAATGATCCACTTTAGAGTTAATTTACAGTAAGTTGACTTTGAAAGTGAATGCTTTTAGGGTGCCTCTGTTTCAAGGATTTGTACTTTACGAAACAGAAAGTTGGGGCTGATTGACCTGCCACTCTTGAAAGTCTTCTGTCTCTTCTACACCACTGATTGAAACTCCACTTCAGACAGTCCAGGATGACCTGATCTTTGCCTGATAAGGATATTTTCAAGAGCACAGAGAAAGATTTTTATCCTGGCGAGTTTTTGTGTTATGACACTCCCAGTCTCAAAATCTTCTCTAACTTACCAGAAGACAAAGAATTATTAGGACAAAGCTTGCAAACCTTTAGTTCAGTTTTTATAAAAAGCTGCTTTATGAAAAATTGTATTCTATTGTACACTAAACCACCCCTTTCCCTGCAGATCGGAGAATATGTGTTCGTCATCTTCATGAGCATTGAGCTGAACCTGAAGATCATGGCAGATGGTCTGTTCTTCACTCCCACTGCAGTCATCCGAGACTTCGGTGGCGTCATGGACATCTTCATCTACTTAGTAAAACTCCATTCTCAGCTCTCCTGTGAAAAACCCACTTTCCGACACATGTGAAAGGCAGCCTTCTAGCTGATTACTCACTTCTCTAATGAGGCTCTGAAGATTGCATTTTAATGACCCTAAACAGCGTTTTATTTAAATGACCCAGTCGCGTCAATTTCATCCTGTTTACTCATTTCAGAAGAATTCTGCCTGTCTCACACAAACATTATTTGCATTTATACTTCCACTGCTGACTATTGCATGAGTAATACTTATTGCATTTATATTAATAAAGCAATATAAATATGCCATAAAAAATAATCTGTAGTTAGTGATTTCACATTCAAGATCAGAATTAAATGAAGAGTTGTGCTCTTTAAGGTGATCTTTCTGCCTACTCTGTAGGTCAGTCTGATCTTTCTATGCTGGCTACCAAACAGTGTGCCTCCAGAGTCTGGTGCCCAGCTCCTTATGATGCTACGCTGCCTGCGCCCACTGCGTATCTTTAAACTGGTGCCACAAATGAGGAAGGTGGTTCGAGAGGTCCTCAAGGGTTTCAAGGAGATCTTCTTGGTGAGTGAACAAATCGTCCCACTTCCTGCCTGTAGTTGCTCAATAAAAGGAGAACAGAGATGGCTGGCTGTTTGTTAATTCTTCTAAAATATATATTTTGTGTACCTTTTTTTTCCTTATGCTTTCTTAACATTTTTTTTTTTTTTGCATTTATAATTTAATTTAAAATTATTTTTCAGTGTCTTTTTGCATCGTTTCAATAGATTATATTTTGGAACAAGAGGTTTGTGTTCTGAGTACATACACTTTGATTTAAAATGTTTTGTGGTATGACCCCTTTAATTGAAAATCGAGAAGCTCTCTTCTTTGCAGTAGTGGAATGCAATGCATTAACTCAGCAGTATTTGTCTAGGAGATTTCTTTATGGACCTTCTTTATTAAAGCTTTGCTCCCCTTGGGTACTTTTCTTTGAGCTTATTATAGGGTTACTGTATATGAGAGTAATGCACTGACCATATTTTATGGCAAAGCCATTTTGCTTTAGACCGGATTATTGATTTCCCAAACAGGTCTCTATTCTTCTTCTGACACTAATGCTGGTGTTTGCAACCTTTGGGGTGCAACTCTTTGCTGGAAAACTTGCCAAATGTAATGATCCCCATATCTCCAATAAGGTACAATGTAATTCTTACAACTTTTCAAACTAAGTTCGGAGTGGAGGATCTTCTGTACTTCACTGAAATTTTGTGCTTTGTTGACTTTTTCAGGAGGACTGCCATGGCATCTTTAGAATCAATGTGAGCATTTCAAAGAACCTGAATTTAAAGCTCAGGCCAGGCGAGAAGAAACCAGGATTCTGGGTGCCAAGAGTTTGGTATGAAATGGAAAAGAATGTTCTCTATAGTTTTTTTTTTTTTTTTTTCACGTTCAAATTTAGTGAACAATAATGCAATATAAAAATGTATTTTTGATATTTATTTGACTAAAATTTGAGAATTTGAAAGACATTTTTACTTTTTCACAAATGAATAGAATTCAATTTCATTTAAAAGCACAGAATAACTCAACACAAACTGAACCTGTCACATCTTCAGTGTTGAGGTCTTTTTGAGAAATCCCTGTAGTAACATCTCATCTGTGACAGCACAAACCAGTATGATAAATGCTCTCATCAGATAAACAGCACCACATTTTCATCATCTTTCATATGTATTTTCCCCATAAGCAATTGTCAGTGTTGCAGTGCAGTTGTACGGTTTGTCGTGGGCACAGAGCAGGGGGCTGATATATCCTTCCCTCAGGCATAAACACAAACAACACAATCATACACCCACACACCAATGAGTCTGTTATTGCTCTAGAGATGTGTGGCAACACAATGGCAAATTATTTGTGAGACGTTAAATAATGAAGACCAGCAAAAGACACACATGGGTCCATAGCCGTTCTAGAGAAAGCAAGGTTTCTGCTAATGCTGAATAACAGAGCGAGAGCGAGAGAGAGAGAGAGAGAAAGGTGGTTGCTCTTTTATCTTTGAGTGCTTTGCGTGGTAACAGGAAAAGAGCAAGGCGTTTGATCCTCTTGGTATTGTGTTCGTGTTCAGTCCATAGAGCAGTGTGTCCAGTCCGCTCACACACACACACAGGCAGATAGACACCATAACATTTTGGTACATTTTATACCTGAGATTATAACAAGGGAACAGCTGAAGTTTTTTTTTCCTCTTGTTTTTTTTTTATGTTTTAAGAGCAGTGGTACTTTATCTTTAACTCACAAGATGAGTTGACAATTATTTAAGAGTTACATTTTAAAAATGCTTTCTGAATGTTCTTGGTTTCGTGTCATTGCTTTAAATGTGATTATAGCAATTAATGTCTGGTTCATATTTCAATAAAATAAAATGTTAGAGTCTTTAACATTTTTCCATTGTGGTATTATTTCCATGACCATTACATACTACAGTATAATGAAAATTATTCTTTGCAAATACATCTGCAAATACATTGTATGCTTAAAATGATACTTTACACATATACTTTACATTTTAAATAATATGTAATTATTTTTCTGCCTTACAGTAATAAGAATTAGATTTGTATTTTTTTTTCATAACAGAAAGTTAGGGATTGGGGAGCAAGGAGAAAGTAAACGTGCTCATGAAAATCACAATGGAAAATAAAAAAATAAAAACATCATGCTTTATATTCCAAGATAGAATTGTATATTTTACTTTTGAATTAGGGGTGACATTTTTTCTTCCTAAGAATAGACAGAAATAAAAATGTCAAATATCTCTTGAACTGCTCTTTTTAGGGCAAACCCTCGAAACTTTAATTTTGATAATGTGGGCAACGCCATGCTGGCTCTATTTGAGGTGCTGTCACTGAAGGGCTGGGTGGAGGTGAGAGACGTCATCATACACAGAGTAGGACCGGTAAGTTACTTTTATTAAGATACTAAACTGTATACTGAACTGATTGATCATGACTGCACTGTTTAGGACCTTTGATTGTCTCTTAAAACAGATTCATGGCATCTACATCCACGTCTTTGTGTTCTTGGGCTGTATGATTGGGCTCACTCTTTTTGTTGGTGTTGTCATAGCCAACTTTAATGAAAATAAAGTATGGCATTTTTCTTACTGTTAGTTGATTAGTAGCTACAGTAGGTTTGTTGGCTGATCCCTGATCAGATGTGTTGGATGTTTTTGTTTAGGGCACTGCTCTTTTGACCGTGGATCAGAGGAGATGGGAAAATTGTATATTTTACTTTTGAATTAGGGGTGACATTTTTTCTTCCTAAGAATAGACAGAAATAAAAATGTCAAATATCTCTTGAACTGCTCTTTTTAGGGCAAACCCTCGAAACTTTAATTTTGATAATGTGGGCAACGCCATGCTGGCTCTATTTGAGGTGCTGTCACTGAAGGGCTGGGTGGAGGTGAGAGACGTCATCATACACAGAGTAGGACCGGTAAGTTACTTTTATTAAGATACTAAACTGTATACTGAACTGATTGATCATGACTGCACTGTTTAGGACCTTTGATTGTCTCTTAAAACAGATTCATGGCATCTACATCCACGTCTTTGTGTTCTTGGGCTGTATGATTGGGCTCACTCTTTTTGTTGGTGTTGTCATAGCCAACTTTAATGAAAATAAAGTATGGCATTTTTCTTACTGTTAGTTGATTAGTAGCTACAGTAGGTTTGTTGGCTGATCCCTGATCAGATGTGTTGGATGTTTTTGTTTAGGGCACTGCTCTTTTGACCGTGGATCAGAGGAGATGGGAAGATTTGAAAAGTCGACTGAAGATTGCTCAGCCCCTCCACCTCCCCCCACGTCCAGGTAAGTGCTCTCTTGAGGTCTATAGAAATAAAATGTCAATTTGTGCACCACCATTATGTTGCTCTGTTGTAGTTTGTGCGCCGTCATGTGTATGAGAATATAAAAGTAGCAAGAGAAACAATGTAGTGATATATTTTAATTACGTTGAAGTATAAACTACATCAGTTTGTTTGATTCAAAGTCATAATACTCATATTATCTCTGTCAAAGACATCTGAAGATAACTGAAGCTTCTTATTTCAAAAGGAATTTGAATCCTCCAAAATGGTCAAACAGCCACAAAGTGACATGTTGGTGGTGCACAGATAAACGTCACCAGAGCTGCAAGTGTATTATTCAGCAGCAGCTTCTCAGTCTCTCATCTCTTTCTTTCTCTCTTTTTTTCTCTCTATCCCTCCCTCCATCTTCCACTCTTCCTCTCCTGGCTAATGAGCCATCCCTGCTTTGCATGTGTTTCCTGAAGCATTTAATCAGCTCTCTTCTGCTGTAGTAGAGAACAAACTAAATTTAAGCTTTCAGCGGTGGGTACACCCCCAAGGCAATCACACACTTGATAAAAACCCCTCCACTTTTGAGTCAGAAGTTATAGCTGCCTGTAGTATGAATGACTGTGGGCTCTGTGGGCACCTCGGAGCCAAAGAGAGAAAAGCGATTCTCTCTGTGTCTCCCATAGATTGACTGACTGATTGATTTGGCAGTCGCAGGCTCTGCGGTGACGGCGGTGGCTCGTTATGTTTTTATGTTAGACTGCTGTTGGCTCGCCTGGAAACAGACACTTCAAAGACATTCTTCATAACAGCAGGAAAGAATAAACACAATCATCATAGTAGGCAATTATCCAGGCATATTTTATGTGGCAATTAGACACAAAATAATGCTCCAATCTACTGACAAGTGTGCATATTTGATTGATATGTTTTGAACCAAACTCCAAAGGCTGCAATGGACTGATTTTTGGTACTTTTCTATTCTTTTTCAGTCATTAAGTACATCTGAGTTGTTCAATTATCATTTTAACCAATAGGAAAACATGCAGCAGTTCTTTGTAAATTACAATAGAATTGTTCATCTATGCTGCCTTTGTAAACAATGGGCTGAACCAATGGCTTTTCGCTATCAGCATGGAAGCAGCGTGCTCTTCCTCCAGTACTGATAACTGAAATCTAATTTTGTTCAAACAAAACAAAATGCATTTTGTGGGCCACACTGCAAGTAACGCAACCTTTCTAATTAAATTTTCCCTCAAAGAGAGATCAAATTTGAATAATGGTTTACTTCCTTTCTTTTTTCTTCTTCTACCACTATCAAGCATAATTAACATCCATATATTTAACCGGGCAGAGCAGTCTCAAAACTACTACTACTACTTCTATTTAACTATTTATTTATTTCTGTATTTATTTATTTAGTTAGTTAGTTAGTTAGTTGGCCAGGAGAGGTGTGCTAAATATTTTTCTAAGCAATTTATGATTTTTTTTGCCAAAAAAAAACGTCTTCCTGCTAAAGAGTTATTGTTAAAAGTTAAATCATTAAAATGCAGTAATTGAAACAAAGCTTAAATAAAATATAATATAATTATTGTATGAAAAACTAAAACTTAAAAAAAAAATAGAAATGTTGCCTAGGCAACTAACTGAAATAAGTTGAAATTATTAAGTACTAAAATTATTAAAAATTAATAAATAAATATAATTAAATAAAAAAAAAACAATAAACATGATGAAAGCCCATAACCAAATGACTAAAACACTTAAAATATAAAAATAATTTAAAGTATTGATAAATAATATAATACAATAACAATAATAGTAGTATAAATAATACTAAAATAACATTACAGCAATAATATTCATTGCATGCAATATAAGAACTAAATTGAGAGATAGCTATCGAGAGCTGGGGACGGCAGTAGGCCTTTGTGCTTCCTGCCAGGTAGTCTGCCTCATGGAATAACAGAAAAATCAATACCTTAGTCAGCACTCGGCAGAGTAACCACATCAATTCCAACTCCACTGAAACCAGCTTCGAATAATCTGTCTGCGCTTTGTGTCTGTTGAAATGAACTTGTGATTACGGTGTATGATGAATGCCACTCAGACCTTTAGCTAAAAGACAGCAAAACGATGATGTAGCGGATCCTAAGCAATGCCAAGGGTAAAGCTGTTACCGAGTGCATTGAATGAACAGTTGAGATGATTTTCTCTCAGCGAGTCTATTAATTGATGATAAAGGAGAGCGTAGAGATTATTGTGAAGGTCAGGGAATTTTAACCAGGCCTTTGTTTTATAACCACAGCACCGGATTAATTAGAAATGAACTAATTTTCTGTTCTTTCAAATCTGAAATTCCTTCTCTTCCATTTGCAGAAAATGGTGGATTCCGTGCAAAAATGTATGATATTACCCAACATCCTTTTTTCAAGCGAGGTATTGCAGTGCTGGTGTTAGCATATATATATAAAGATGAACATAAAATAATGTACTGAAACAACAGCTTAAATATTGGGGTCTTCTGATAAATGTCATTTTATTTTAAACTTTATTAAACATGGTAAAAATCTACCAATTAAAATTTTTTTGTAAAACTCAAATATTTACAGTCATTCCTGAATTCTTTTTGAAAAACAGAACATAACAGAAGCTTTGTTTTAAGGCACTTACATGTATGAATATAAAGTTTCTGTAAAATAAAATTATTTCAACAAAAACTGAATCTGTACATCATCAATTATTATACCAAAGATTATGTAATTTCTAGTGAGCTCTGATACCAAATTAAATACAATTTTCAGCCGATAATACATGTCAGACCAAAAGGCACTCCTGTTTGAACAGTCAAAAAACAAATGATCTGTTGTTTCAATGTCAGATTAACAAAAGGTAGTCGTTATAATTTTAAAGTAATATTCATGGTTTTTAACTTTTGTTTTGTTGATTTAAATGTGCTTTATACTGTAAATAAACACTTTTTTTTTCTTTAGAATGCTTACACATACATGATGGGCACATGTGTGATAGTATTCAGGTTTTTCACCATATGTGGGAAGCATGTAAGTATGCATAAATATTTACACAAAATATGTGCAAAACCATGAAAATTACAGTGCATTTTCCTCCACTACCAAGCTGTCTTGTATTTACAGGTGACGTTAAAGATGCTTCTGCTAACTGTGGTCGTCAGCATGTACAAGAGTTTCTGATATTACCCAACATCCTTTTTTCAAGCGAGGTATTGCAGTGCTGGTGTTAGCACAGTCTGTCCTCCTGTCTGTTAAGGTGAGGCGGGTTACAGCAAAAAATGTTTTGCTTTATTTCTGCACTAAAATTATAAATTATTTTTGTGTATGTGTTACAGTGGGATGAACTTCACCCGGTTACTTTTCCTTTGGCCACAATGTCTGTGGTTTTCACGTTCATTTTTGTTCTGGAGGTAAAGCTGTTACAGTAGGCTATATATTTCCAATTCTGTTTGCTGTTCTTTCATGAGTCAGCCCAAGCAAGATTTCTTTCCAGCCACAAGAAAAGTTTTCAAATTCACCAGAGGCCTCACAGTTCATGAGGTCTTTCGTAAGTATTGTACGGTCATGACATAAGAGTTTCTTTATTATCGTGGGCATGTTCTTGTTGTTGCTGTGCTACGCTTTCGCCGGTGTCGTCCTCTTCGGCACCGTCAAATACGGCGAGAACATTAACAGGTAAGCCTGTGTCTTGTGACACATGGAGGCACTGATTGGACTGTGTCAGATTTGTAACACACTTACTACTACCCACGGCGCTGATATAATTGGTGTTGTCTAAACGTTTTGCTCGAATGCCCTACTTGCATTTGAGAGAATCAATTTTCAGGTACAGCTGACAGCATGAGAGGAAGTGACTCTGCGTGAGCTGTTACTTTTTCCTCTCTCGCCAACAGGCACGCAAACTTCTCCACCACGGGGAAAGCCATCACTGTACTTTTTCGAATAGTCACAGGTGAAGACTGGAATAAGATCATGCATGACTGCATGGTAAGAGATTGGATGGCAGCCCCGTTTTGCCCGCAAGCAAGCTTGCTCGCTGTGAAAATCATTTAAAAAACAGTAAACAATTCAGTTTAAATGAATCAGATAGAATTGCAAATATAACTGTACAGCGTCTGGTTTCATTCGACATGCTTCTGAATGATTTCTGTTAACAAAAACACATCAGCTGAGCCCCATGTGTTGATTATGTTTGTTTATCGGCCTCGTTCCCCAGGTGCAGCCGCCATTCTGCTCTCCGGACAAACATCGCTACTGGGAAACGGACTGCGGCAACTATGCTGGCGCCCTCATTTACTTTTGCTCCTTCTATGTCATTATCGCTTACATCATGCTCAACCTGCTCGTAGGTAAGCGCCTCTTTCCCCTGACTGCCGACACAATATCCTGTTCCATCTCCTGGGGTGGCATCTAATTTCCTCCCGCTTTAGACGCTAGCCAAACTAGCTCATAAAATACAATATCCCTGCCCATTCTTCTTCCTGACGTCCTTCCATGTTTATTATCTCTATTTTTGCCAGAACAGAGTGGTTCCTCCATCTCGTAGCTCAGCACTGGTCACTGCTGAATATGAATGAGGCTTTGAATCACTTTGGGTCAAAGCCAGTTTAGACTCTGTCTCTATTCCTCTTGGTTTATGGACTGTATAGATGTGCACACTTTCTAGTCATCAGCATATGTTGTGGTGTGCTGGTGTCCCCAATAGGCTGCTCAATTAGCAAGTTGGGTTGTGCACCAATCAGAATTGATTTGAGAATGCTTTGTTCCAATTATAATTGATGTACCATACAGGATGCAGTATTTATGCAGTAGAAGTTTATAGGGGTTTATACGCCTTAGAATGATCGATAGCATGGGACGCATTAAATTGATCAGATGTGACAATAAAGACTTTGATAATTTGACAAAAATATTTGTATTTCAAATGCATGCTGTTCTTTTGAGCTTTCTATTCATCAAAAAATACTGAAAAAATTTACCATGGTTTCCACAAAAATATTAAGCAGCACAACAGTTTACACCATTGATTATAAGAAATGTTTCTTGGGCATCAAATCAGCATATTAGAATGATTTCTGATTTCTGTCACTGAAGACTGGAGTAATGGCTGCTGAAAAATCAGCTTTGCCTTTACATTTAAAATATATTAAAATAGAAAACATTATTTAAAATTGTAATAATATTTCACAATATGTACACTGAACAAAATTATAAACGCAACACTTTTGTTTTTGCCCCCATTTTTCATGAGCTGAACTCAAAGATCTAAGACTTTTTCTATGTACACAAAAGGCCTATTTCTCTCAAATATTGGTCCTGGGCTGGTGTGGTTACACGTGGTCTGCGGTTGTGAGGCCGGTTGGATGTACTGCCAAATTCTCTGAAACGCCTTTAGACAGATTTAGACAGATTTGTGAACAATATTTGAGAGAAATAGGCCTTTTGTGTACATAGAAACAGTCTTAGATCTTTGAGTTCAGCTCATAAAAAATAGGGGCAAAAACAAAAGTGTTGCGTTTATAATTTTGTTCAGTGTATTTGACTATTTTGATTAAATAAATGCAAGCTTGGTGTGCATATGAGACTTTCTTTAAAAATATTTTATATCTTACCAGCCTCAATTTGTCTAATTAAAATTAAATTTTAGCAAAACTTCCATGGCTAATATGATCCACATGCTAGGCCAACATCATACCTGCACCAGTGTTATTTTAGTATCATTGAGATACTATTAGATATTGATATAGATATTGTTAATATTTTGAATGAGATTTTATTCATATTTTCTGCTTTTATGTTAATTTAAAGTTTTAGTAATTTTGTTGTTCTTGCAATTTTTCTTAATTAGTATTAGTAGTATATTAGTTAAATTTTGTTATTTGTAAATTTCAGTTTTATTTTTAGTTATTTTAGTACATCAAGTTAATCTAAATGAAAGTGAGAAATGTTACCTTGGAGACTATAATAAAATAAGGTTTGAGTTTATTATTACGGAGTGTCTATTTACACTAAGTGCAAATAGCCCGCCTTGTTGGCAGAGGCTATTTACACTAATTTCGCCCACCAACGTGTGATTGAACTAGTCAAAAGTGCAAAAGACGGCTGCTAGATGTCAGCTTCAGTGGCATAGATGGTGTGTCATAGTTTTTTTGACATGATCAACCCAAGTTCGAACCCAAGTTCAACTTTTTCTCTTCCATTTTTAAATTTCATATCACATCGGAAAGGCATGTATTTTTAATAAAAATTAAGGAAATAATCAAAAAGTTGAAGAAAAAAAAGTATCGGGTAGGGTTAGGGTAGGCCTAGGAAGGGCTTATTGTCCCAATAATGTGGCATCCATTTAATAATTTGAATTAAAATGATAATTTACACTCAATACGTTATTATTGCATACTGTTTTATAATGTACTATAATACGATGATGTGAGATGGCGCCGACGGTGATGGCTACATCCGTGGCGTGCTCCGCAGTTGTTTTTATGTTTTTGTTAGTTTGTCCTGTCTTTAGTTA